TTTCTCTTCTGACAAATATATATTTTTGACTGCTGGTTTAATGAGCAGTAAATGTGATGGAGTACAGTCATAGCACTTTGCACAGGTAGGTATATTGCAATGTATATTTACACAAACATATATATTATTCGGAGAAGTTATGATGCAAATATGCACATTTTAGAAAAAAAATCTAATGAATATGCCAGTATAAACAGAAACATGCATAACATACATGTCTATGTATATTCACCCATACACTTTAAGTATAGTCATTTTTTTTTTGTTAGGAGCATGTTAAAAGTAAGTTATTGAATGCCACTCAAGTAAGTAGTTTCACATACTGGATCACTTTCAGAATAGTATTTAGATAAATTTTTGTACACATCTTGTTAATCTGTATAATCTAGCAGTTTCCATATTAATTCTTAAGGTTGGCTGCAAAACCTTATTTATAAATGCTTATTGCATGCCCATACCTAACATAAATTATCCACAAGAGTCATATTTGTTCATTAAAACATTGATGTCTATTTGTTAGCTAATGTTAGACAAATTTAGGACCTGAATTGCTGTGCTATAATTGTGTAGGACTTGGGAAAAATATTTTCTTCAATAGAGATTGATACACAATGCTGCAAAAATTACCTAGGGTAAAATTCGGTTTGTAACTTCTAAGATCAAGTTAGATCAAACTAATGTTTTGCTTATTTTTAGAATTTTCATCGTTTAAAAACAAATAAACAAGATAAGTTTCCTGTATTACAAATAAAGCAAATGACATTGCATTAAAACTGGTGGATATTTTTATGAAGAAATTCCTAGTGGAAGAGATGCTGTGGGGAAATTCCCTATTGATCGGATTTAAACTTCCATGTATATCAACAAAGGAAGCAGGAGGCCTTTTGACTCCAGGTATATACCTACTGCAAATGGAGGACTACATCACACAAATAATCAGACATTTGCCAATGTCTGCTTGGCCTCTATGTCGCAGTTTGCTTTCATACCATACCTTGTTAGTAATAAAAAGAGATGACATCTTGCACAGAAACCTTAGCTCTAGAAAGTGCTACAGAAGAACAAGGACACAGATATACTTGTTGCTACTTGTTCAGGGAGAAAAACTATTTTGTGTCCAAAATTATATTTGGTATTTTACAAACTGCTTAACTGAATTAAAAAATAATTTTCTTAAATGTTGGAAGAATCTGATTTAACTAAGCAGTTTTAAAAACTGTTTGTTTTCCTTTCAGGAAATTACAATGGTTTGTTACAAACAACAATAGCAATAGAGCAACATACCAAATGCTCTAAATGATGAAGTACTGTTGACTTTAAGAGCTATCAGTCAGAAAATAAATAAAAGAAAGAAGGGAATAGGCAGCAGAAACAGCCATGATTTATGTCGGTGCTGTTATAATCACATCACAGTACAGATTTGTTCTGAATAACTCAGTTTAATACTTTGTGTACTCATATTTATCATCCATCTGTACAGACAGAAACAATGTTTTTATCAAATTATGATGTGTTTAATGTGAAATACATTTAGCACAGATGACAGTTTTTAACCACTAATTTTAACTTACATAGTTAAGTATTATATAAAGATTAAATGCTAATAAGCATGGAAACAAGCCACACAGGGTTGCACGGCTTTTGTCTGGAAACCATAAGAATAATGAGAACCATTACGCTCCATAAACTTGTTCATGAAAATTGGAAGTGAGTTTGGGGTTTAGAACGTTTGTGAAATTTTGACTGCAGTTTTTCAGTCATGTTGGACAAAACTTATTATTCTACTTAAAACATAAGAGAAAGAAACAATTTAAATATTATTGCATTGCTTACATAACTGGAACATTTGAATAGCTGAATAACAGTTAATCATGAGTTAAAGAATTTGGCTTCCTTCACTTAGCTTATTAGTGATTATGAACTTTTAAAGACAGTTCACAGTCAACTCATTAGTGATTAAGAAAGAAAACTTAAAATACCATATGCACAACGCTAAGGATAAAATTTAAATTGCCTCAAGATTTACTGAAGGTACCACTGCAACAAAATATAAGACAGGGCTTCTCAGGTGTCCCCAGAAACTACTTTGTCTCAGAAACTAGTTTGTTTTATGAAGATCTTTGTGTTCTAGAAAATCTGTAAGTGCCATAAATAAATAATAATAATAAAGTATTTAACGATATCCATTAGATCTGTTCTCCAAGTACTTGTTCAAGACCTTCTCTGAATTCATTAAAACATTTTGAATTTGCTGTGTTTTTCTTTGAGAAGTGAGAAACATACCAAATTAACAGTCCTGTTTGACACTGAACTCTGAAGTCAATAGAATATGGCTTTGAGTTAAGCTCTACCCAAAAAAGAGTGGTTGAAATTGGTATGAGCAGTGCCAAAATAACAGAAGTGAACATGTACAAGAGGAGGAGTACTAAGATGATCAGAGAGCTGAAGCACCTCTCCTATGCAGACAGGCTGGGAGACCTGAGGCTATTCAGGATGGAGAAGGCTGTAGGGAGATCTTCTTGCTGCCTTTCAACAGTTAAAGGGGGCTTATATGAAAGATGGAGAAAGAGCTTTTACCAAGGCCTACAGTGACAGGACAAGGGACAATGCTTTTAAACTAGAAGAAGGTAGAGTTTAGATTAGACATAAAGAAGACATTTTTTATTATGAGGGTGGTGAGTCAGTGGAAGAGGTTGCTCCAAGAAGCTGTGGATACCCCATTGCTGAAGGTGAAAAGATGATAGTTGTACTGATTTCTCAAATACAAATTGTAGAAAATCATAGAACTTATAAAGAATTATATGTAAGTATCTTTTTCATGAAAAGTATGAAATTTTAAATAATGTCTTTGTCTTTAATACTGAGTATCTTAATTCATGGGACATTTCTTAGGATTTGTGTACAGTCTTAATCCATAAATGAATATGTAAATATTAATAAGTATAGATAATTTAATTTAAATTTTAATCATGTTTTTCTTGTCCTGAAAACTGCTTTCCATTCTTCATTGTTTTCTCTGAATTTTCTTGGAAAATAATAGATTTTGATTTCCTGCTTCATATGAACTCCTTCATTATGTGAAGAAATAATACTTTTAGCCTTTGTGACCATACATGTCTAGTTTATGTCTCAGTTTATGTCAGACTAGCAATATTGTTGAAGAACACTCCAGTATAGACACAACTTACACCTGTTATCATCATAATGAAGATAGTTGAGTAAATTTTTGGCTAAGAGAATTGCAGCTTTCATCTTTCCATCAAATGATGGAGACTAGGTAATATTTTTCCTGTTTAGGCACTCATTAAAATGTGGTTGATACACTTAACAACAGGTTTTAGACAAGTTTTCTTCCTATGGCTTGTTTGGCAATTTTAACTCTAGCAGTCACTTGACAAAAGATTATATTTTTTTCTACTGTATTGTTTCTCTTCTAATGCAATTGCCATCCTTATCTCACACTGCCTAAAGTCTAATGCCTAACAAAACAACATCTTTTTTTTTTTAATTCATGGTGCTATTTATACTTTATTCTAACATACAATACAATACAAGGAGTGATGAGTTCAAACTGAAAGAGTGGAAATTTAGGTTACATATGCCAAAGAAATTTATTGTAAAGATGATGAGGCACTGGAACAGATTGATCAGAGAAGTTGTGAATGTCTCATCCCTGGCAGTGTCCAAGGCCAGGTTGGATGGGGCTTTGAGCAACCTGGTCTAGTGGAGGTGTCCTTTCCCATGGCAGGGCAGTTGAAACTAGATAATCTATAAGATCCCTTCCAACCCAAACCATTCTATGATTCTGTAATATTATATATATATATACACATTATATATTATATTATATATATTTTTATATAGGTATTATATATAAAAATATTATTGAAGGGTGAGGAAAAGTCCACATTTTTTTACTGAACCACTGCATTTTAATTCTGTTGCACTGATTTTTTGTGTAATACCCTCTAAACTGATAGTGCCATTTCACTGATGAATCATTCAAGGTTTTTTGCATAACAAAAAGAAACATACATACATAAGTATTTGAATTCCAAATTTACCACTCTTTGTGCAAACAAACAACAGAATGGAATAAAAGGGTTCGGATGAGCAGAGTAATGTTGTGGGAAAGGTTGACTTAAAATAGAATATAAGAGCATATTCTGTAGTCAAAAGGGCATTTCCAGCAATTCCTGGCAGCAATATTGCAGCATGTCAAAGAAAAACAGGTACTGAAGAGAAGCAGAACTTAGAAGAAAGATTTCACATTCTCACATAACAGCAGTGTCAAGTAGTAGCACTAAAGCCTGCTTACATTTTAGTACTTGCCAACAATTAGTACAATATTCAACATGCTTAGGCTCTCAATGACTTTAATGAGATTTGGACTTGCCATAATGTAATCTGGAAACTGATGCCATACTATTTACTGAATAAAGCAAACTCTTTCATCACTTGTACTGAGTTTTTTTTGAGACTGATGGGAAAAGCTGATGGGTGAGACGTACAGACTATGGTTGATTTATACTTTTACAGACACCTGAACAAAATACATCTAAAACAGAAACTGGGAATTGCTATAATAGCACACACTCCCACTCATGAAACACGAGAAGAGAATGGAAAGTTATTTTCAAAACTCATAGATCAGCTTGAAACCAAGAAGATTATTTCTTCTCAAAACCAAAGACACATCAGCAAAAGAAACATCAAACTCAATCAGTGTGGGCTTTCATGTGAAATTAATGAATCAAGATCTGATGGTTGTTTCAGATTGATATTGGTATTGATTTTTCAATAACAAGCACATAAAGAAGACAACTTCTCACATAATCAGAAATCAGTCCTGAATTTAAATTAAAGCATGAGAGATTTGACAAGAGATGATCTATTTCTATAACAAAGAGAAGGACATTTTAAGGATACTACTTATCTCAAAATGTTAGAAAAAACAAGGAATAATAATAGTGTTATAGAAACAAGTCTTAGAACTTTACCTTTGTGGCAGCATCAAAACAAACAAAGCCCGTGTTAAAGTCAATGGTAAGTCCCATAAGATGACTCTCCAAAACACACGCATACGTCTTGCACTGTAAAAGAAAAAACAGAGAAGGTAGTCACCACAGAACACATTTCTTAAAAAACTTTCTAGAACCACTATTTCTATGTCTTTATTCTAATGTTTATATTTCTCAATATTATTATCAGAAAAGAGTAATTTGTCTGTAAATACATCCATTTATTGTCAGTGTATTTCAAATCAAAGAATTTTGATGAGTGATGAAGTTACCTAAGTAATGTGAAAATAGGCTTTCCTTCTATTAGGGAAAAAATTAAACTGAATCAGAATTGCCTCAGTGACTTATCAGTGCAAATTACTAAAACCAAAGTTTTATTATTCTCAAACCCTCTTATTTATTTTTCATACCCAGTAAATTTTAACATTAACATATTCCTTTTAGCTTTTTAAGAAAAAAATAAATCATATGTAAAATATCTCTTTGGTATGCTGTTTCCTGTGGTTCTGTGTTGTCCTAAATCAACAATTTAGCAACTCATATAATCATATGAAATACCTTTTTTGCTTCAGCTAGTAGACCAATATATCTCAAATATTTCTATGATAAACCTTGAAATCCTGAAAGACTTTCTCATTCCACAATTTTTATATATATGCATCTATTTATTTCCATAACATCACACTTCAACACATGCCGTGAGACATCTATTAAAATAATATTCAGGATCAAAACTATAGCTGTGCTTGGAGGCTGACTTCAGGTACAAAACGACAGACTTGTATTTTTCATCACAAAATATGTAAGAAAAAGTTAAAACATTTCCAAATCTGTTGTAAGTTCTTTAAAGAAGCCATTCTTATTTTATAGACATTTTACCCTCCAGATTAAATTAAATACAGGTATATTCTTCAAAAATTGATGTAGCCACTAAAAATATGAAATGATACCAAAGACTTCCATGATCTATAATGTGTCAGAGTATCAAAATATAAATTGTAAATATAGTAACAACATGAGTTACTAAACTACTAGTATTACAAAAGTACCTATGATTATTTTTGGCATTTTGATTATCAAGGATAAATCAAATGCCTTTAGTTATATATTCTTTCAGTGGGCAGTTTGGATTCTAAATGGTCTTCCCCAGAACACAAGAAGCTGAAAGGTGCATTAACAGCTTCTAACAGTTCAAATACACATTGCAATGAAGGAAAATTGAAAACTTCACAGTTAGTTTTCATATTAGCAAATAAAACTGGATTTTTTTTCTTAGATCAGCTACACCATAAAACAGCTATGAATATGTAAACTTTGATTGTAAATAAATGTTATTGAAAAAGAGGATATTGTCTTTGGCACCATCTCATTAGTATAAAAAATAGTATTATATAAAGTATCATGGCTAGGCTTCGCAAACGAAGATTTGGGAAGGGCGCTACCCATATTTGCTACAAGTGCGCTGGTGGCTAAAAAAGCCAATACAAGATAGACAAGACCAGTTGCAAAAGGCACAGCAGAAAGACTCCTTAGGTGATATTGGCAAGACATGATTCTTTCTGCGTTGTCTTTTCTCCTCGAGAGTGATCCTGAGTGCGTTCTCAAAGGAAGTAGCAATAGGTTATTAGAAAGGGATCAGAAAGTGCATCACCATATCTGACTTGGCCATGCTGATCCTCATGAAGTAAGATGATTATTTTAAGGAACCTGGGGGGACATCCTAAACGTTCCAAAATCTGCCACAGACCTTTTCTGCTCACAGTATTGAAAGCCTTGGTGAGATCAACAAAGGTTACATAGAGACCTTTGTTCTGTTCCCTACACTTATCTTGCAGTTGTCTGAGAACAAATACCATGTCTGTGGTAGTCCTGTTGGCTCTGAAACCACAAAGTTCTGCTATAACCCGTTCAAAAGTATTCTTGCCAGGATTTTGCCAGCAATGGAGAGCAGAGTAATACCACGGTAATTTGAAAAGTCTGATTTATCTCCTTTCTTCTTATACAAAGTGATGATAACTGCATCACAAAGATCTGATGGTAGTTCTCCTAGTTCCCAACAGCACATCACAAACTTGTGGAATTTAGCATGGAGTGACTGGCTCCCATGCTTGCAAACTTCAGGTGGAATTCCATCAACCCCAGCTGCCTTGCCAATTTTCACCTGCTGTATGACCTTAAGAGTTTCTTCCATAGTAGGGGCAGTATCCAATTCATTCTTCACCAGTTGTTGTGTAATGTGCTGAATTGCTGAGTCTTGAACTACATGGTTAGTATTGAAAAGAGTCTGAAAGTGTTCAGACCATCAATTTAGAATGGAGATTTTATCTGTGTGAAGCACCTGACCATCTGCGCTGAGTAGAGGGCTTCGGACCTGGTATGTAGGCCCGTATGCTGTTTTCAAGGCCTCATGGAATCCCCTGTAATCACCCATATCTGCGCATAATTGAGTTTTTTGTGCTAGATTGATCCACCACTTGTTCTGGATGTCACAGAATTTCTGTTGGAACTTGCTGCATGCAAAACAAAAGGCTGCTTTTCTTACATGACAAGATGGCAGCGCAAGGTGTGCTTGGTGAGCACAATTGCTGGATCTTTTGATTGTTTTCATCAAGCCAGTCCTTGTTCTTCTTGAAGGACAACCCTAAGGATTCTTCAGAGGACTGCAGGATGTTATTTTTAATATGTTACCAAAGTGTTTCAGGAGAGGGATCTATGAAATGATTTTCGAGCCTAGTTTGAAGATTTGCCTGGAATCTGTCTCTCACTGTGACTCTTTGAAGATTGTTAATTTAGAGTCTCCTCCTTGGGATACCACCCCTTTTAGGTTTGAACTTAAGGTTGGAGTTAAGTTTACAGCACATTATAAAGTATATATGTAAAATACATATATAAATTATATATGTAAAGTAATATATTTCAGTTACTTATAGTTAATGATTCACATATGCAAGAATGTTCAGGTTTTGCATGCAAAGTAAAAAATTTACAGTTTTGTAGAACTATATTGCAAACTTCTAATGAGATACAAACTACATTTTAATTTGTAAACCCCCAAGATCTGGAACAGACTCAGAGCCTCTACCAGATATTAAATTTTGGCAAGGAGACAGTATATCATATTTAAAATACATATAGTCATCTAAATTCATCTAACTGCACACCTCAACACCAGAGGTGAACCTACAGTGTGCACTGCAGCACCTTGCTGAGCTGGCACAGCTACCTTTGCTTAAGCACGGCACTGTGCCTGGTCTAATTAGCCTCATTGGGAAGTTAAGATTTATGAGAAACAGGACATAGTCTTGGTTCAAGGCTGCACTGAAAAACCAAACTGCTTCCTATCTTGAAGGTTCCTTATACAAAAGGGAGTGTGCAGTTGATGAAGTATCATGTAGTTCAGCTCAGTGTAGTTATTTGTAGGAAGAAACTGCAGACCATCAGTAGCAGCTGATGCTTTACTTCTATGTAAGACCCTCTATGCCCTTGGATCATGTACTCCATGATGTTCAAAATAATTCAGAAAAGCAAAAATGTGAGAATAACAAAAAGATCTTGCGACAGTGAGATTTCAGTTTCTTTAGGGAAAAATGTCCCTTGGTTTATGCATGTGTTGTATGCACTTGCACATATTTCTGGGTCACAACTCAGAGCAGGAGTGTGAACTTTTAGACACTAATTAACTTTGTTAAGATTTTTCTCATCTTTATTTTCTTTAAATTGTTATTTAATTCGATCATTTGAGAAAGCAAAAAATGCAGAAATTGTTCCCCAGATCCAGGACAATTTAATATTTCTTTTATTTTAACAAATATTTTAAAATCTTAAAAGTGACTTTTATTTATATATACTGTGAATGTTTGGCTTTGCTTGCTGATTTCTCACACAGAGCTCATGAAAACTTTATCAGAACTGAAGCATCCCCCTCCCAAAAGAAGGAAAATATACCAGCATTCATTTTTTTTGTTCTCTCACAGAATACAGAATCTTAAATTGGTTTATGAATAATACAATGGATCAGGCAGGGGCTGAAGGAGACAAACCAAAGTTGTTCCTTAGATTTTATTTCCTCAATACATACAGTTTAAATTACGGAAAAAACAATACATTGAGAGCTTAGCTTAAGCTATCTCTGAAGCTGAAGGAAACCATACTATAAATCCAAGACTTAATTCAGACTTTCAAACTCAGATTCAACTTCAATGAAGGTAAATGTTAAAGTACTGCAACACAAAACTGCTTATATAATAAACCTTATATTAGAGAACAAACAGCTACAATACAAACAAGGACAGCAATAAAAAAAGTCACAACGGAAGAGGTGAAAATTTTAGCTTAAAGTAGCAGGAACACAAAGGGAACGTGACAGTCATATATAATCGCACATTGTTATGCAAGTCAGAGAATTCTTAGATTCTTCGTACAACGATGCTGTGAGATAGCAAGGAAAAAGGATCTTCAATTCAACTATTTTTTTTCTTTTAATAGTTAATAAGGAAAATGGATTAACATCACTTACTACACTAAACTAACAAAAAAGCAACTAACCTATCAAAATACCACTAAATTATTGCATCATGTTTTTAAATTATTATCAGCTTGATGATGCCTCCTGTAATACATTTCTTTTCTAAAAGAACACAAATTATATATTTATAATGAGGCATTTAAAAATACTTTAATTCATTATATGTTCTTTGGAATTAGATCAGAATAGGGTCCTTATTAACCTCTTGTGGAGGTTAATGCCAAATTATAGTCACTGAGTATCTGTTATTATTGGTATGATTATGGAATAGTTGAATAATTTTAAAAGGCAGTTTTAAACTGCAGTTATATTTTGAAAATCATAAGACTTTATTGTAAGGAAAACCTGCACACAGATAGATTATCATTCATATTAAATATAAATAATCATATGAATATGATTTATTAAGCCCTAATTTTAGTAAAACTGTACAGGTGATACCTTAATTTTGAACTTGTCACCTTTTTTTTTTTTTTCTCACAGTGCAGTGAAAGAACTTGGAGACAAATTATACTACCAGGTTTTTCTGCATCTTTAAATTGCTGGATGAAAGCAGAAATGGTTGTTGAAAGGAAAATGAGGAGGCCAAATTCAGTTATATTAAAAATATTTCTTTTTTTTTAATTGAGATAGAGAAAATATAGAAAAAAAGTTGAAATAATGATTTCCACAATAACAATCTATCATGAGAAATCCGATCATCCAGCTTTACAGATTTGCTATAATCAATCAATCAGTCAATCAACCTCAGGAAATCATTACTTTGTGCTTTTAGTTGCTACTCTGAACTTTAGGAGAGAGAAAAGAAAGGTGCAATGGTTAACACTAATCTGAGGTTAAGATTATTAGGGAAATTATTTGGGGGAAGTATGAGAGCAATTTTGAATAAAAGAAAAACTAGGAATGCTATAGTATAAATCAATATTAGAATAGAAAAAACAAGAAGTGGCTTCTGAGCTAAAACTTATTCATGAAAAATGCCATATATTCTTTTATTGATGGCACAGTAATGCTTCTATAAACTGTGTTGTAGTCATTTATATAAGGTAAGAAAAGTTTCTGTAAAAGGTAACACAGTGTATGAAATAAAGAGAAAAGTTGAACCTTCTCCAGCTCCTCCAACAAAGGTAATACACATTAAAACTGACAGCAGTGTAGTCTTTCCAAAATGGATCATTATTAGCATATCCTAATTCGGTCTGTCTGCATGTGGTGCTTCATAGGTCAGAATAGGACTAATATATAACTAACAATTTGTCTGAATAAAACTGTGTCAGTGCTTGCATTCCCAGGACAACACAGAAAATGCATGAGCCAATACTTGCACAGGCTAATATGCTAATGTAACTCCTGTGGGTGTGTATAACTCATGGTAACATCAACTAAAGTTGTTCTAACCACTTGTATATTTTATGACTAGAACATCAATATAACAACTAGGATTAGGTAAGTTATAATTGTGGTGTGTGGTTTTTTCTCCTATTTAAAGTAAAAAAGTCATGACTTTTTGGTCATGTGAGGGAAACAAAGTTATCTTTAAACACTCCCATAGGTTATTTTGCTATAAAAATTCACTAGTAATTGGCACCTGACTGTCATCCATCTCTGCTGTCATCTGACAATTGAGTAAATACATAAGAAACAAGAAATGTGTGAAGAAAGAATAGTGTATCTGAGCTACAATTTTGTTCTTGCTTGTATCCACTGAGTACTTAATTCAGTGTACTCTCATTCCCGGTATTACAAGGACAACTTAATTCCTGCAAAGTTCTCTTGTGAAATCCAGTAGCAAATAGAGTAGCATGCAAGACAGTAAGGATATCTAAACAGCTGCTTTTTGTCCCTGATCTATAGATTGCTTTTCTGCATTTGTCCATGAACTTCAGTTAACAAATACGTATCACCAAGCCATAATAACTCAAAGATTGTATCTGAGGTGATCTCTTCTGAACGTCAGATCACAAGCTGTTTGGGAACACCAACAGGCTTCTTATGCAATTACTTACATAAACAATAATAATTTGAGAACTGCAGAAGGTCAGAAAATTTCTTAAATTGGATCATTATTTCATATGTACCTAATTTGTTAATGTACCGAAAGGTGATCAGGCAGTTATTCTCACCTGTATCCGTTCAACTTCTAAAAAAGTCGCTGTTTGGAAGGCTTTTTCCCATAGTGTTAGGTCAGACTCTAGCTCCACAGAAAAGTAAAGATCTTCTCCAGATTCAGACTGGACACTGAAGCAATGTTTCCGCCGGTCCAGTAGATCACTGTCCTGATGAAAACCTGAAGTTATATAATCTGGCATACATCAATTAGTATTTTTAATTGCAAACATCTATGCCTCAAACTCAGCATTTTTAAATGGCATTTTTAATGCTAGTAGTAACTACTGAGGAACTGAAAACTAGGGTTTTGGTCTAAATATTGACATTTCAATGAATTTAAAACAGGACACCTATATGCAGAATGGTACAGAAGCACACAGTATATCTCTGGCATAATTTGAATATTTTAACAAATCACTTCTCATAATGTTATCAGCTATACATTTTTAGATTAGATAAATTCTATAAAAGGTGTCCACTTTCTATTCACATGAAGAACACAAATATCAGCTTCTCTGACCTATTTGACTCACACACTCTGCTCTGGAACTTTGGTCAAAGGAAGAAAGAGACTTAGTTTAAGCAGTGTGAAAAGTCCATCTGCCCTATTTTCCCTATAGATAAGTTCATATTTCTGATAGCTTACAAAATTCTACTTAGAATTTGTCTTTAAATGGATACTGCCAGTAGAGACTACAGTGGCTACCAGTGGTTAGGTTGCTGGCTTTGGACCTGAAGGAGAAAGTTACTTTTGGCTTTACTTTCAACATAACGCCGCACAATGAATATCAGGTTATAAATATTTAAGAATGATTGCTAGCATTTGTAATTGGTACTAAACAAAGGAATAAGCAAATTAATCAGGAAATCCATTCACTAAAATGTTTTCAAATATTTATTTATTTGTTTGTTTGTTTATTTATTTAGTATGGGATGCTTTATGTTAAAATTCTGCCACACAATTTGTCCTTCTGAATAATACACTTGCAGAAACAAGTTTAATTAATTTTTGTCCCTGCCATGCCAAAGAAGTTGCCACAAGTCACACTTTCATCAGCTGTCCTTGCCAATACATCTGGAAATTTGGTTATAAGTAGCCTGTGTGCAACTTCTACAATGCTACCCCACAGCAAAAGACACAGTTAAGATCAGTAAAGGAGACTTACAGGACAGTATTGCTTTCTACTTATACACAACTTGAATAGACCAAGGGGAGCATAATCAGCTGATACAAGCTGGAAGAGCACCTTACATTTTTAAAGTCATCTCTCCCTGGGGCAGAGAATTAGGAGCCTAAAGCTGACTGAGAATGGAAATACAAAAAACAGGAACCTGTCTGAAACTATTACTCTCAGGCATACAAGTAGGCAATGGTAGATCATACACTACTTTCCCCTTTCTATTCATTCAGTAGATGTGTGACAGACCTCTTCAAGAAAGCCAGTACAGCATGCATTCATGAATGCTTCTGGTTCAAGACTGCTTTACAATTTCTAGAAGAATCAGCTATGGAGGCAACATACCCTCTCTTTGCAATCACCGTGACAAAACCAAGTTGCTAGGATTTTAAAATGACCAGTCGCTGTGGAATAATCTCCTTACTTACTTCCATCAAGTAGCTCAATAGCATTAAGTCATGTGTGGAAAAATCAGCATGAACACAGGCTGTTCGATTTACAAACAGCATTTAAAAAAAAATTATTATTCTCACAGATTTTTCTTCCAATGTTCAGAGGGCTGTGTAATTGAACCACTTAAATGCAGCTGAATAATAGCCTATGTCGTATGACAAATACCTATGTCTTTTTTTTTCTATCTTTTTTCTCCATTTTTTTCCCCTTCCACTAAGACCCTTCTACTAAAACTAAAGTGTTAATTCTGCTCACAGTATGTTCTGACCAGCATTCAAAAAGAGGTTATAATGTCTAGATTATTGTTAATGACACCTATGCTCCATTGCACACATAGCCTCAAAGTGCACAGAGCAGCAGCAGGGTGACAAATGTTTAGCCTTGCAGATATGTGTAGCAAAATAAAACTTAGAATCACAGAAGGGAACTTAAAACCATCTAGTTCCAACCCTCTGCCATAGGCAGTGACACCTTTCACTAGACCAGGTTGATCAAAGCCTCATCCAACCTGACTTCGAACACTTCCAGAGACAGGGAATCCACAACTTCTCTGGAAAACCTGTTGCCTTACCACCTTCCCAGTAAAGGATTTTCCAGTCTAAACCTACTGTCTTTGAGTTTGAAGACATTCCCCCTTGTCCTGTCTCTACATGCTCTTGCAAATAGTACCTCTTCATCTTTCTTACAGGCTCCCTTCAGGTACTGAAGGGTCACAATTAGGTCACCCTGAAGCCTTCTCTTTTCCAGGTTGAACAATCCCAATTCTGGATGACTGTCAGACTCTCACTCCTCCAGGGAAGAAAACTACTTCTTATACTATAAGAACTCTGGAAGCACTTCTTGTCTAACAGGTCTTAAGCAGCCTCTTTAATTCACTGTGTTTCCAGAGCTACACTTGATTGAATGGGCCTGTTGGTCCATAACCAAAGGGTCCTATTCAGCATGGAGTCTGACAAGACTCATGTGTAAGGTACATGCATTTCCTGGAGAAGGCTTTAGTTCTTCATAGCTGTAACCTCAGAAGAAACTAAAAATATTTTGAACTCATCTTTACTTATTCTTGACAATAATCAGTAAAGAACAAGTAATTATTGCTAATGCAAACTCTTAAACCTTTTTTTAAACATGACACTAGGCATGTTTAACTCTTAAACCTTTTTTTAAACATGGCACTAGGTGGGATCACGGGAATCACTGTCATTAAAACAACTGAAGTAACAATCCCTGTTTTTAAATGGGAGAGAGCTTAGTGCAGTGCTCTGTTCCAGAATGCATATCTCTATTTATCTGGGCACAGTTAAGGTTTTGTGCTTTTGAATTACATTGTTAGACTCTTCAATTCTTACAGGTGTTTTTTACCTATTGAGAAGAATATGCTGTCTACAAAAAAGAGAAGAGTCATTGTGTAGACTGAGAAAAACAAAATGTTAAAAGTTTTACTGAGATAGAACTCAAAAAGTGTTTGAAAAATGCAAAAATCTCAGAAGAGTCTTCGAAATGATTAAAAAAAGCCCACATATTTTATTATCAACATTGATAGCAATATTGATACTAGATTTACTAAGCATTACATCAAACCTAGATGATGAAATGAGAAAGAAGAGCCAAATGGTGTCCACAATATTTATCCAGGTTTTTGCTATTTGTATATGAAAATGAGAGCATGCTTTGATTTGGAAAAGATCTAATCAGTACTAGGTAGCATTTCCCCTCAGTGTTTTACATATAAATATGTATGTCAAATATTACATCGTATTGTGACAAACAACACACATAATGTACTAATTTATTATTCTATTCATTTATAATTATAATTTATATTCTATTTCAATTTTATTTGGAATGAAAACAAAACTCAGCATTTCCACAGAAAAAACCATTTTGACAGAATAATAATTTCAATTTGTGATTAGCTCTAATGTATGTACTTGTGATTTTGATATCAATAGCTATGGTTAAGTCCATGGTAATACAAGTTTAGATCAAATACATTTAAATAATTTGCTTTGATTTTTCTAAAATTACTGATATACGTATGAGGTACTTCTTTACTTGTTAGCGGTATTCCATCCTACTTGTAAAAATATTTTTTGGGTAAGGTTCCCTTTAGTACTGCTTCTGCTTCTTTTTCTGTAAGATCTTCCTTCAGTTTTGCATTTGTTTTCAAGCATTTAAAATCTGTATTTTAAATTTATAGATCTAATCATGTTTCCATCTTTACAGTTGATAACTTCAGGAAAAAATATGTAGCAAGAGCTAAAAGACAGGTATCCAAATGTCCTTATAAAGAGAGGAATTTAAAGTAAAAATATTTTTTTTTAGATATCCAAGTGAGAATTGTCCAAAAGCATCTGCAAATTTAAGATAAACTTGTCAGGAGTCTCAAAAACAGGTCTGGATTAAGCAGGAATCTTCATTAATTAACTTTTACCAAACTCTTATTTCAGCTAAAATATAAAATGTCATTCTACCCATTTAAGAATCTGCTATGATCCTGCATTTTTATATGCACTTACTAGCCAGTGACACGAGCCAGTTTCGTGTTGTTTTTTTGAGGACTCTTTCATATTGTTAACGATTAGCTGTACCATTTGCCCCAATATTCTCAATGTGAATTAATAAAACTCTCCGAAGAGGAACAGGTACAAAACTTCTAGCAGTATACTCATTACCTACTGGAGGGAATGTAGTCCTGCTGAAGGATGGGCTGTGAGGAAAGTCACTGGCTTACACCCAGTTTCAGGGTAATCCAGCATCTCTGCTGACAGGACAGTATGACTCCTGCTTGTCTAATTAATAATGATATCCATGTTAAGTGAGAGTAATAAATTTGTCTAAGGGAACCAAGCATGGCTCATTAGGCAGGTCCTTTCAAATTAAGGCAGAATGCTTCTTTATGACTAAGTAGTGACATTGCCCTCTCTTCTGCAGTTTTTTCTCTTTTGAAAGGCTGCTCCCTCCAAAAGCAGCACTGTTCCTCTTTTTATTACTCATGTATTTTCTTTTTAAGTATGATGATTGCATGAAATACTTGTATTTTGGTTACTATTTAAATCTGCTAAGATGCATGCAATCCTCTTGAGACAGTCAGTAAGAGCAGAGTTGTTCTATTCTACAAAGCTCTGTGCAATAGAAAACAAAGCTCAGTCTATCACTTTCATGCTCATGGTATGACTTTTACCCATGAGGTGCTCAAGTAAGGATGCTGGTTTACCTGTGAAGTTATATATAGCAGTGCAAATGCAAGCAGTTTTTGACATTTTATGTAAACAATTCATGTAAAATGTTCAAGACCACCCTAATCAAGAGTTGTATACCTAAACAGACAAAATAGATCTTGCCTTTGAAGATAATTTTATTTCAGCTGTTAAAATGAAGTAAATATTCATGATTTGCACATTAATTATAGTAATTCTTAATAACACACAGATGAGAAAACAAGTAAATCCTGTTTTGTTTGTTGACTAATTTAGACAGTTCTGCAGAGAGAAATCTGTCCTATCATAACCAAGATTCAAACCTAAATTCTCAGAAAA